TCTTTCTTTCTTTCTTTCTTTCTTTCTTTCTTTCTTTCTTTCTTTCTGCTATCAGAAACCATTTCACATCAAAACAAACCTTTTATGTGCTTTAATGGAAAATATTGTTCTTATTGCTAGAACAGGCCAGTTTGATTTCCAGTCTTATGCTATATGTTCAGTTTTGTTTATTTTTCTTCTCGCCCTCCCAGTCTAAAACTTTTAACTCTCTTAATTCCTTAAGGAAACTGCTGGTTTAACAAAACGTGGGTCTGAGAGAGCTGTTTATCCTTGTCTAAGCCACATGCAAGGCCGATGGACTCTGTAATGATGCTCTTCCCCTCCCTTCTCTTCTTTCCTATAGATGCAGCAGCTCTTTTACGAAAACTATGAGCAGAACAAAAAAGGCTACATCAGAGATCTCCACAACAGCAAGATCCACCGTGCCATCACTTTGCATCCGAACAAAAGTCCACCTTATCAGTACCGGCTTCACAGCTACATGTTGAGTCGTAAAATAGCAGAGCTGCGATACTGGACCATTCAGTTGCACCGAGAGATTGTCCTCATGAGCAAATACAGCAATACTGAAGTCCATCGAGAGGACCTTCAGCTGGGAATCGCACCTTCCTTCATGCGCTTCCAACCACAACAGCGTGAGGAGGTTTTGGAGTGGGAGTTCCTGACGGGGAAGTACCTGTACTCCATGTTAGACGGGCAGCCACCTCGCCGAGGCATGGACTCCTCCCAGCGTCAGGCCCTGGACGATGTCGTGATGCAAGTCATGGAGATGATAAATGCAAACGCCAAGACGAGGGGACGGATCATCGACTTTAAGGAGATACAATATGGCTATCGAAGAGTGAGTCCCATGTACGGGGCTGAGTACGTCCTTGACTTGCTCCTTTTGTACAAAAAGCACAAGGGTAAGAAAATGACTGTCCCTGTTCGGCGACACGCCTACCTGCAACAGACCTTCAGCAAAGTCCAGTTTATGGAACAGGATGAAATGGATGCCAAAGACCTGGCCAGTAAAATCAACCAGGATTCAGGATCCTTGTCTTTTCTCTCCAATTCTCTTAAGATGTTCGTCCCATTCCAGCTGAGCAAGTCCAGGTCCGAGAAGATAGAACCCAAAGACCAAAAGATCAACATCTTAATTCCTCTTTCTGGACGCTTTGATATGTTTGTGCACTTCATGGCCAACTTTGAAAAGACTTGCCTTATTCCTAACCAGAACGTCAAGTTGGTTGTCTTACTGTTCAACTCCAACTCAAATCCCGATAAGGTGCGTCAGGTGGAACTGATGAGAGAATATCGTATGAAGTACCCCAAGGCTGACATGCAGATCTTACCCGTTTCTGGAGATTTTTCCCGAGCTCTGGCCCTTGAAGTAGGATCTTCTCAGTTTAACAATAGGTCTCTGCTCTTCTTTTGTGATGTTGACTTGGTTTTTACTGCAGAGTTCCTCCAACGGTGTAGAGCCAATACGATCATACGGCAGCAGATCTATTTTCCGATCATCTTTAGCCAGTACGATCCAAAGATTGTCTACAGTGGGAAAGTTCCAAGCGAGAATCACTATGCTTTTACACAGAAAACTGGTTTCTGGAGGAACTACGGTTTTGGAATAGCCTGCATTTACAAGGAGGATTTAATTCGGGCAGGGGGGTTTGATGTTTCTATTCAGGGCTGGGGTCTTGAGGATGTGGATTTGTTCAACAAGGTGATTCAAGCTGGTCTTAAGACGTTCAGGAGCCAAGAAGTTGGCGTAGTCCATGTACATCATCCGGTCTTTTGTGACCCTAATCTTGATCCAAAACAATATAAAATGTGCTTGGGTTCCAAAGCATCAACGTACGGTTCTACGCAGCAACTAGCTGAACTGTGGCTTCAAAAACACGAACCAAATTTTGGGAAGAACACAATTGCTAATGGTTCCTTAAGGACAGCTTAATATCCCGGGAAAGGGGAGATTTAGAAAACAAAAACAAAGACACTGTATTGCATTTTTAAAAATTTACCCTAATTTATTTTTTCCTTTGGGGAAAATGTTTTGATAGTTGATTTTTTTAAGATGACCACACAAGGGTATATTTTAGAAATTCATTGTTTTCTTACGAGGACCTTTCCAGCTTTTTTCTTGAACAAAACTGTGATCAAACTTTGTGTTTCGGGAAAATAAAGTAATAATTACTTGGGACTAAATATTAGGACTGGTTCTGACAACTTGAAATAAGTATCTTTTTTGTTGACTGATGAATGGACCAAATACATTAATAAAGGAGAAGGAAGCTCAGAATTTCTACACATGGTACTTTTCACTGCTCAAATTTAGTTGCTTGGGCAGTTCTGGTGGCAATTAAATGCAAGTTGGTACAAATGGTTCACTTATTTCCCCCACCCCCATCTGCAGGAGTGTGTGTGTGTTTGTGAGTGTGTGTGTGTGTTTGAGAGAGTGTATCCATAGCCCCCCTTGACTAATTTGCCTTTCAGAATATTTCATTTGGTTGCCTCTTTCAGCCTTAAAATGTCTTTTTGCTCAAAACGTTGTCAAGCAACCAAAACAGATGTGGAAAATGAGCACAACCTTGTTTATGTACACTGTTGTCTAAAAAAGAAGAAGGAGGGAGAAATGTACATTTTTTTTTCTTGCCTGGGTCTAGAGCTGACTTTTTTTTTAAAAAAAAAATCCATATCAGGTTCTCTGTTCTAAGTAAGATTTTTGTATAAAACCATCCTGATGAGAAAAGAGCAAAGCTTTAGTTAATAGAGAAGAAGAACAATTTTGTGTCAGAAGAATCAACAATTGTAAATCCAAAACACTCCGAATTAAATGTGTTGGGAAAACTGTTTATTTTCCCCATCGGTTAACAGTACTTTTGTTGGGAACAATTTCCTACATTTTCCTTTTGCTTATTTTTTTTTTTTTTGGCTTTTTGTATTGTGTAGGGCTTTAATTTATTTAACAACCTTTGTTTTTAGGTCTTTGTCTTTTTATTTTGAATAATTACTAGTCATTCATATTTATGTATGTTAGAAATGTATTGCCTTTTCTGACTGTTTAAGGTCGCTTACACCTTCCTTACTCTGCAGTAAACCATTCCTCCAAAGATTCTTCTAACGCCTCCTCTTTTATTTGCTAAATTGTCTGTGACTTTTTAAAGAGTAATCAGAAAAACCTGGATATGGTTTTTGATGCTCCAAAAATGTATTCCATTTTTTCCAGGAGTGGGACCGAAACTGTGAGAGAAATTTAAAAAAAAAAACTGTATCTAAGCACAGAGCAAAACGTTTAAAACTTGGGCATGTTGCTGCAAAATAAAATAAAATGCATTTGAATAAAACTAAGGCTACTGCATTGTTGCAATTCCATTACAACTTCTCTTTAAGTCAGGGGAGGGCTGCTGGTGGTTCGCAGGGGTCCAGGAGAGCCCTAGCTAAGATTCTGTGCAGTTTGGACAACCCCCAAATCCCACTCCTGGATGGCCCCGCCCAACCCTCCCCTCCCAGGAGAACCCACACAGCCCGTTTGGGATGCAGGTAAGTGTATGTCTACATCCCTACCCTATTCGGACCCTCACTAACTGATCCCCACCTAGTGCCATCTTCACCATGTTTTAACCTAAGGCTTAATTACCACCTATATGTGCCCCAACCCCCTTTGACAATATGCACCACATCAATACATGAAAAGAGCCATTTCCAGCAGCCTCATAGTTGTTGCAGAATCCATCCTCAGCTCTGCTGAGTCATTCCAAAGCCATCGGCCAGCACACAAGCAGAAATACAGATCCAGCAGCAGCAGAGATAAGGTGACATGGCCAGCTGACTTGCTGCAAGGCATATTCGGAGCTGATGGGCTCTGAGTGGACTCTACCAGAGATCTGCCTGTAAAGCAATAAAAAGGGAATAATTATCACCATAGCGATAATTCAAATAGTCTTTAAGTTCATTTATTGCAGATAGTACTTGATATATATGACCATTGACACCAGAATTTCTGTAGCAATAGTAGTTTAGTTTTAGTTTGGTTTACTTTATTGTCATTGCACCTCATACAATGAAATTAAATACCATCTTTGGTGTACATTATGACTATGAAAACAAACACAAACTCACATCCTTCACATTCTATACATTGAATTGAAAATCAGTGATATTGCATTAATATTGCACTATGCAGTAGAATTCAATATAGTTACTGCCCTGGGATAGAAGCTGTTTTTCAGCCTATTAGTCCTTGTTTTAGATTTAGACTTATATACCGCTTCACAGCCCCCTCTAAGTGGTTTAGAGTCAGTGTATAGCCCCCCCCCCCCAACAATCTGGGTCCTCATTTTACCCACCTTGGAAGGATGGAAGGCTGAGTCAACCTTGAGCCAGTCAGGATTGAGGGAATCAAACTCCTGGCAATGTGAACCTACAATGCTGCATTCTAACCACTGTGCCACCACAGCTGTGTCGCTAAACATGGCAATTGTTAAGTGAGTTGCACCTGATTTCATTACCATTTTGGCCATGGTTCAGTGAATCACTGCAGTTCTTAAGTGGATCCTGTGGCTCTTAAATAAATCTGGTTTCCATCATTGATTTTGCTTGTCAGAAGCTGGCTAAATAGATTGCAATTGGCAATCACGTGACATCTAAGGCACTGCAACTAGTCCGGCCAGCTGTCAAGTGCCCCAATTTTTTTAAAAAATCAATTTTATTAAATATAAACATTAAAAACAGTGAACGTGGTGTCTCTTCTTTGACATACATTCCTGTCCAATCCCTTTACTATTAGAAAAAGAAAAAAAAGATTCATACATTTATATGCATACATACATTTTTATGAAACACATTTTCCATTTTTCTTTTGTTCTTTTTTGTCACTTTGTCTACTTATTTAACACCCTTTCATGTCACTCCAATTGTAAAATTTGTTCCATATTTTGTAATATTCTAATTCATCTCGCTCTTTCAATTCTAGTGTTAGCCAGGGGTGGGATCCGACCAGTGTAACTACCGGTTCGGTGATTTACGATTTGTGCGCACATATGAATTGTCGTCAGCTTGCTGCCTGGACAGCTGAGCATCACTGTGCACAGGTGCGCAGCATTTGAAAAAGCCCTTTTTTCCTGCTTTTTCAACCACAGCTGTGCCACGCAAAGCAGCTGAGGTTGAAAAAGCAGGTAAATAAAGGTCAGGTAAGAGTCCAGGAGGGTGGGTGGGCCAAAACAGCAGCAGACATAGAACCGGTTCTATGTCTGCTGCTCTTCAGAGCTATCAGTTCTACAGAACTGGACAGAACCGGTAGAATCCCATCCCTGGTATTAGCCTATCCAATCAAGACATCCTCACTTGGAATCTCATCAAGTGCCCAATTTTTGATCACGTGACCATTGGGATGCTGCAGTCGTCGCAAGTATGAGGACCAGTTGTAAGTCATGAATGGTTGCAAGTTGAAGACTACCCATACATCAATTTATATAGCCTTCTGCTATCACAACTCAGCAAACCCAGAATCAGAAAGCAACAGAAGGAATATAACAACAATGACAATAACCAAAGAATAGCACAAGGGCAACCCAACTCCCACCACATAACCATAGTCATGTCACAAATGACAGGCTTAACCAGCATACAGACTTCATGCTTGGGAGAAATATCCAAATCTTCAAGGATGAACAGAATGCCAGAATGGCATTCAAAAGTAGACATTAACTATAGGGAAGGCCTATCTCCTGGGTCCTACCAGTTGTCCCTGTTTAAAAATGGGACACACAGTGTTCCTACCATGCTGAATCTAGTGAGCCATGGAAAAACAATGGGAGAAAGGCAGCTCTTCACCATTTCCTTTAGATTGTTGTGACTTTCTGACTCTCTGTACTGTAACGGTGTTTTGTGTATTTTTAAAAGACAGGCAGCAATTAGAACTCCTTTGGGTATGTTTTAAATGGTTTTAAAATGGTTTTCAAGATGGCTGTGCACATGGATGCTGTGGCTAACTGCTCCTTCTTTCAGTGTATGGTGTGTATGATTCTGTGTGTGTTTTGGATCCTTTCCTTGATTGCATCCTGTGGGGCAAGGAGCATCCATAGTCAGCAAGCCTTGTTACAAATTGGACTGAAATGTGAAAAGGCTACTACCGATGATTTTATAAATTCTCATAACATACCGAAGGAGGCAGCTAGGCCCCTGGGAGAGCCATGGATCACTATCCCTGTAGGAAGGAGGAAGAGGTAGAGAAAGAAGAACAGGAAGAGGAAGAGAGGATGCCGTGCTGGGGTTTTCTTTAGGCTGAGTAAGTTTCCACACAAGCCTTCAATTCCAAGTATATTTCTTACCAATGCAAGATCTCTGACTAACAAAATGGGTGAATTAAGGCTACAGATTGCAAAGACTAAATTCATCAAGAACTGCTGTGTTTTGCTAATCACAGAAACTTGGCTTCATTCACTCATTCCAGATGCAGCTGTTGAGCTGGAAGGGACGTAGCTCACCGGCAGGACAGGAGTAGAGATTCTGGCAAGATCAAAGGGGGAGGTTTAAGCCTTTATGTGAACAAAGCTGGTGTATCAATACAAAGACTAGACAGCCACTGCTCCATGGATCTGGAGTATATGACTCTTAAATGTAGACCCGTATATCTTCCGCAGGAATTCAGCATGTTTTTGATTACTGCAGTCTATATCCCACCTGATGCCACTACTATCATAGCTTTGGAATTCTTGTATAACATTGTTAGTAATCAACAGAATAAGTATCCTGATGCTGTGCATATTATAGTGGGGGACTTTAATAAAGCTGATTTAAAAGAAGTGCTCCCTAAATTCTATCAGCATGTTAAGTGTGCTACTAGAGGAGCAAACATATTGGACAAAGTATATACCAACTTCAAACATGGCTATAAAGTTATACAAGTACCACATTTGGGACAATCAGACCATATGTCACTGCTTACATCCCCCTTAGGAGACAGGCTCTGCCTATAATAAAGACAGTGAAATCTTGGCCAGAAGATGCTTCCCAACACACTGCACAGATACTATCACTGTGGATAAGCTTATTAGGATCTATCCCAATCAGAAACCTTAGATGACCAAAGAAGTCCAGCACCTCTTGCATAACAGGACCAAGGCCTTTAGGTCTGGTGATGGGGCAAGATACAGTGTTGCCAGAGCTAATCTGAAGAAAGGTATTCAGAAGTCCAAGACTGATTATAAGAGGAAGATTGAGGATAATTTTTATAGCGATAACATGAGGCAGGTGTGGCGAGAGATTCAACAAATTACAAACCATCAACCAAAAAATGTCATCCCTGCTGAGGGGGATGCTTCATTGGCAGAGGAACTGAATCATTTCTTTGCTCGCTTTGAAGTGGAGACATCAGAGACAGATAAAACACAACTACCAGCCAATTGTAGCCCCCACCTCATTGTGGAAGAACAGGAGGTGAGGAGCATTCTGAGGGCTGTGGACCCTAGAAAGACTGCCGGTCCTGATGGTATCTCTGGTATCTCTGGCCAAGTGCTTAGACTGTGCTGGAGTCTTAGGCTGGAGTCTTTACCAGGATCTTCAATCGGTCTTTATCCCAGTCCACTATTCCATCTTGTTTGAAGGCTTCCACCATTGTTCCGCTGCCAAAGAAGTTCCCTATCAATAACATCAACGATTACACACCAGTGGCA